CCAGCAGCCTTCTTTCTACCATAAGCGCTGCTTCACACTTACTAAATCCCTGGTCTGTAAGCAATGAAAAGTTTTCGCGTATCTTTTACACCAATCGCCTCTCAAAAAGAGTAAAAGAACAAGACAGCCACTGTGAGTCTTGGAAATGTTAAAGGCATCTGGCTCAGATGTCTGGGCTTGCTCCACCTCACAGTCCCCTCTACCCTCACCCCTTGTTCTCACCAGCTAACAGACAACATACCTGAACCTATTCCATCTATGTACACCAGGCAGGCGGCGTGGACAAAAGACGTCACTGTGGAGATGGTCTCCGGCCTTTTCAAAGCAGCTTCCTCCCCCATTGTGTTCATGAAGTTAACCCAGGACAGGATATCTCTGATACTGACCACACACCTTCGGCCAAACTCCTGGTGGGTCAGCCAGTCAATGAAATCCAGCATCACCTCAGCTATGTCAGCCCCTAAGACACAAGAAAGCAAAGGTATTTGCTGTTTGGGAAGACTCCGGACAGGGATTTGCAACCTGGGGCCCATCGATGGTTTAAAAGGGATCTATGTTTCATGAGATCATATGCAAATTTTTGTGAATGTACATTAATACTTTTTCTAAGCAAATGGGGTCCACGGCTTTAATCACATTCCCATAGGGTTCAAGAACAGCATTCTACCCCTACCAAAAAAAACAAACAAAAAAACACCACAAAGAAAACTTTGAGAATTAAAGTCTAAGAAAGTGCCCTGAAAACAGCTCAAAGAAATAAAGTATTCATTTGGTTCGTGTTCAGATACAATTTTGAAGATAAGACACAATGATTTTAGAAAACATATAGATTTATTTATATTTTTAACTGCTTCAGTGCAATGGGGATTATCATGATTTCAGTGGCATTTAGTCTAGGTTTTTTGTTTGTTTGGTCCATCTGTTCATCAATCACAATTTAGCAAATTAGAGGATTCACAAATTATGTTTCGTGATTCAAGTTAATGACTATTCTAATTTTCACAATTTCATATTGTAAAATATTTGTCTGCAAACAAAATACTTAAGTCATACACAGACATTCAAAGCAAGGACAATCAAATTTAGTAGAGCACTTCATATAACTTCTGAAGTCAATAGTAAACATTTATCTAAAAAGTATGAATACCAAGGAATGTTTTTTAAAAAGAAAATATGATAAGGAGGAATCAGCACTGCCGTAATAAAAAGTAGACTATACAGTAACAGCTTTCAAGCTACACTGCAAACTGGTTAGAAGAAAAATACTAATTACAGAAAAAAACACAAATCTTAAGAAAGAACATAAAATGACAACTCATGGGGGAAAGTCTAGTTAACAAGAGGAAAGAAATTAAATACTGTTTCAAAAGCTAGATGTTAAACATGAGTACCTGGATCCACATTTCAGAGTGGAAAAAATTTGAGGTAAATCAAGGACTTAAGGAAAATGAAATAATTTATCCATTAATAAAGAGAAATTAAATCATAACTATTAAAGAAATAGAAGATCATCAGAGATAAAGTGGATGGGATGGGTTCATATATGTTTTTAACAACAAATATTGAAGATAACAGAAGAGAGAAACCTACGTGATAAATATATTAAGGAATATTATCCAAAAATATACAAATAACAATGTGTAAAATAATAGTTATTTTTAAATAAACTACAGAGAATGCTCCATTCACTAGAAATAAAAGAAAATGAAATTTTAGAATATCCATTAAATTAACAAGGATAAAATAATAGATTTCATTGTATTTAAAAAGAAAAAACTGACGGGAATTCCCTGGTAGTCCAGTGGTTGGGACTCGACACTCTCAGTATTGGGGCCCGGGTTCAATCCCTGGTCGGGGAACTAATTAAGCTGCTGGCAGCACTGTGAATGGGGCCAACTTTCTGGAGAGCAATCTGGCCACAACTAATGGGAGCTCGGAAGTTCCTCGTTTCTACTTCTAGAAATACAACTCAAAGAAAAGCTCTGAACAATATGTCATTTTAATGAAAAGAGAATGCTTTGAGAAATACTGGTCAATGAGAGTTTGAGAATGGAAAAAGCAGCCCACATGCCCTTCAGAGATCAATTTTTAAAAAATACATCAATTTCATCAATACATCAAATATAGAAAAGATTTCATTACAGAATCTTTTTTTGTTATATTATCCATGTATGCATAATACTACTATAGAGATTTGTGAACCAAAAATAATAGAGAAAGTAAGTGGTACCCACAGTGGTATTTATATTTTCATTAAGACCATGCAGTAAATATATCTTAAATACCCTAAATAGGCTCAGAATTCAATTTAGAATCCATAATAGTTGAAATATTAAACTCAATGAATCATATATATCCTTAAAGAAAACCTGGGGAAAAGCTATGTCTAGTTTCCTTTTTTTTTTTTTTTTTTTTTTTTTGGGGGGGGG